TATAAAATATTATTCATATCAAACTCAACAATCATTATTTAAATCTCTTCCGAAACCAATATATTACTGAAAATGTTAGAGTACTGTTTTTAGCGGACTGGAGGTCATGTTATCTTCCTAACCGTATTTTCTAGGAAGCTTTTAAGTATTTAGGTATATACTTGTGAGTATATGTATTATATATATAATTCAATATGTGGACGAAAAGAGCTTTCTGCTTATCAGTTTTGTGAATTTTAAGAAATTTTAAAAGCATCTTTAAAAACTTGAGTGCCTCAGATCTATCACAGTTTATAAATTCATAAAGACTCTAATGTTTAATTGGAGCAAAACTTATGGCTCATTTATTGCTATATTTGACATATTTATGCTATATGCATCCTTGAAGTTGTTACTGCAAATACTGATACTGAATTTGTATTGAACCTACAATTGAAATTGAAACAACTAGGTTCAAGTTTAGCAGTACTTACTACTTAACAAATTTACAAACATTTTAGATATCTTTCTCGAAATTGACTAATAATTGGATATTGGTAAAAAAAAATCAACAGCAGAAAGATCTTCTACTATTAATGGTTCCAATTTTTATAATCCTAGTTTAACAATAATTGATTGGATGTTGACTATAGCAAAAACTTTTACTGTAAGTAACATATGAGTATGTGGAGTGCAAAATATGATAACAGAACTGCCAGTTTCTTAGTTTGAGAAATACATACGACCAATCCAAGTATCTAAACTTTAGCACCAAGTGATAAAATAATCATATAACTTTATTTGAATTAAAATCTACTTGAGAATATTTAATTTTATAATAGTCCTCTAATATGGTTTTTCAAAGTATGCTTAACAATTATTAAGCTTTATATAATAATCAACATTTTGCTGCAAGCACTGCTTAATGTATATTTAAAATTCATTTTCTTCGAAATTTTAAAATATAAAATTATACAGAAGACTGTAACCTAAATGTTCACGCAATAAAAGTTTTTGTACTCATTTCAGAAACAAATTCCTTTTCCTTAGTTTAATAATTATATTGCGCACACACTACATGCAAAGTAAGTGGTATGAAAACTTTGTGAAAACTTTGTGATTATGTTATATTATTGTCATATTGTTTACAATTTTCAGTAAAAGTCAGATATATAAATTTAGTGGTATTTATTTCTTGCTTAATTTATAAATCTATATATCTTACACACTCTCCTATAGCAGAGTCTTATCTATAATCTACGCAACCGAAGAATGGAAGAGAAGATATTTGAAAAAAAATGCTAGAAAAAATCTTTGGGATTGAACAAGAGAACATAACACGGTCACATCAGAACCGTATCAGAACATACTGATAAACATGTAATAGTAAAATAAACAAAAAATTTAAGATAGGCAAGACAAGACAAGTAACTGCGTAAGTTAAGATCCGACTCTTGCAATACAAGATCCTATTCAAACAGCTAACAGGGCATATTTTGCCCATATCAAGCTTTTCAACTCGACATTACTATCAAAGTAACAAAAGCAGCGCATATATAGAATTGTCATCAGACCGACAACGACCTGCTGCTGAGATTCGAAAAGAAAAATTAACAGTACATATTGTATACTGTATAACGACGAATTGAACGTCTTGAACGAAGGTCGAACTATAACACGATACATAAAGGCTCAGATATTGCGCTGGTATGGACTCGTCCTACGAATGAGTAATGAGGGAATGACTAAGAAAATGTTCGAAACAAAGCCAGAGGAGATTAGAAAAAGAGAACGACCGCGACGAAGATGGTTACAAGATATAGAAGACAACGCCCGAACGATGAGAATAACACAACACAGAGGGAAAGCAGAATACAGAGAAGAATGGAGACGTATTGTAGAGGAGACAATGGTCCATCCTAGACTATGATGTCAAAATGATGATGATGTGCTAACGTAACACTTGCCTTGTTAGAACAATTTACAGGAGTATGAAAGAGTTAGAAATAAGATTTTGTAAGTCCTCAGACAGTTAAAAGAAATCATATTTCGAAATAGATTCTTTCTATTTGTGTGTAGCGCATTTTAAAAATTTACTTGACCGATTAAAAGCATTTAAATGTTACTTTTTACTTTCCAAGTTGTTATTTATACTTCACTGCTAATTCCTTTAATGAAAATGAAACTCAATTGTCATTATTTCAGTCCGAATATTTTATTTATTCTGCTATTTTTTGCATACTTTTAAATGATAATTTTTCTTCGTTTGTAGTTTTAATTATTTTATTTTTTATTTACTTAACTTTTTTGTAGTTCTTCTATTGTATTAATTGTACAGCATTTTCTATTTCTATTTTTATTTATTTATTTCATTTCACTTCCCTTCGCATTCATTTCGTATATTTGTGTTCTTATTATATATATTTTTTATTTAATCTTCTTTAATATTTTTTATTCTGTAAACAGTTTTGTGTAATGAAATAAAATAATGATACTAACTTGAGCGGTTTTGTCATATTTTTGTAAAACAACAAAAAAAAGGATATTTTTTATACAAAATAAATTGTCCTTACATTATTTTTTTTTTGTTTTATATATTTTAGTTTAAGTTAAATATTAATCTTCATTTTAATATGTTCCCGCCAGTATATTTTTGATTTTATTTTATATTTAAGCAATTTTACATTTAATGCTTGAACATATTAAATATATATATAGTTTTCATTTATTATATTATAATTTTCAAATATTGAAATTTAAAATATGAAAAAAAAATGACAAAAATTGAAAATTTTATAAAAAAAATATTTTAACTAAATATAATGAAATAATGAAGTGAGAACGTTCAAGTAGAAAACTTTAATGAAAATAAGTGCAAAAGAGAATAGCTTTGAAAATTAGTATGGAACTATTATTTTTATTATTAGAGTGGATAATAAAATACCGTAATGTACGAGATCTTTTTAAAGGAAAGCTTCTATATATTAAGAAATTAAAATATTAGCAAATCCAAAAATATGCCTTTATTCACAACTTGGATTTGTACTCAGCTTAATAAATAGTAAATAGAGAAGTTCGAGGCATTTCTTAGCAGATAAAATGATAATTTTATCTCGAATTTTATCTACTATTTTGCTAAATCCGTAGATATAACTATGCCTTCCTTCCATTTCTGAAAGGTTATAGTTAATAGAACATTGTTCAATTACAAATGTAGTAATCAGGGAGAGAGTTTGGATTTATTTCGCCTAAAACAATTTTTAGCATTTCTTTCTTGTTGAATTAAGGATTTGGCCCTGCCATTATCCATAAATTTTCATATGACTTATACTTAAACACTGATGCTATGTTACGAGCCGCTATCCTGCAGAAAGGCGTTCTGTGAAGCCTTTTAATGAAGGCTATGAGCCTTTTTTTTTTGCACTATATTGAAATAATAATTAAAGTAGGTTCTAGTGAAGCCACCTATTCATGACAATGTTGTTGGAAAGGTAGAAAAATTTTGTAAAACTTTTGTAACAACTAAATAAATAGAAGCCATTTTTAAATGGTATCACCTGACACTAGCTGATCGAAAATAAATATCGAATCTAGAATAAATTTAAAATATCTAAATAAGAACGACTAATGTAATACTTTATCATTAGAATGTATTTTTTCGATCATGAAAAATGTTCATGTAAAATATTTATTAAACCATTTAATTAAAAATAATTTCTTTTTAACAAAAAAAATTTACCTCAAGTGTTAATAAGTTTACAGATAAAACCTTTTTCTTAATAAAATTTCACAACTAAAAGGTCGTAAAACGTATTTATAAAATAAAATTGTAGTTATATGAGTAATACTATGAATTTCTGGTATTTTGGGTTATTGATTAAAGAGCACTTTTCTCAACTTTATTAGTTTGAAATTGAAGTTTTCTATTAGGTGAAGTCTGGTTAATGGTCTTTGAATAGATGGATTGGGTTTATATATCTTAATTTAGGACTTTCTAATTAGAAAAGAGAATACTTTTATTTTCTTCAACTTCCTTTGCTTTCATTTGTTTTTAAATTCATAATTAAAATTAAGTTTTCAAGTTATTAGATTCATAACTACTATTTTTATATGGAACGTTTCTGTTTTGACATTACTGTTAAAACCGGTAAAGAAATCAAATCACGACGGAATAAATTATTTGTCAATAATGATATTGCCCCACAAAAAATCTTTAAAATACCTGAAATGAGTTATATTATAGCTGAGTTTTTCATACTAAATTCGAATTATAAATTTAAAAACACGTAAGGATTTTTTTAATACTTTCAGAAGCCTAGTACAAAGTGGCATCAATAATTAACAAAACCTCTGCAAAAACTACTTTGAATTTAATATTCGAAAACAATAGGGACATTACCTTTTCAATTAAATCAATGTTTCTATTTAAAGATAAGTACAAAACTAAGTCTAGCTTTTCTAAGAAATACTAATCAATCTCTTTTTCATGTGTATGAAATATGAATTATTTCAAAAGAAAAGAACACAAGAGTAATTAATAAAAATTATACAAAACAAAATTAATAATTAGAATAAAAAATTGTTTAACAATTTTAAACCATATATTATTATATATATGAATACATATGTATATCATTGCTATAAATCAGTGATTTATAGTATTATACCATCACTTTTTGTTTTAGTAATTCTTTTCCCCGAAGTTTACTTAAGTATAAATTACTTCAAATTAATTTTGCATAAATATTTTGCTACACTTATAATTAAAATAATTAATCCTTTTTTTTAATGAGAATACTTTTAGTACTTAATTTTAATGTAATTATTGTTTTATGTCAAAAAATTACATACAATAAAACTTTTTCGTATTTTTTATGATTTACTTTTTTCGATATTTTTAAATATTTTTTTTTTATTTGCAATAATATTATTCAAATAATCTAGGACACATGAATCACAATATTAAATTTAAGAATTTTTTTCACATACCAATATATGTGAAAGTATGCTTGTATGTTTATATAAGTATATATTTTATACATTCCTACTTGTAAATAATTAAATAGTATAAATATTTGCAGTATTTAATTGCCATAATCATCGATAAATGTATCGATAATATACCGCTTTACTTCATTAATTGAAGTGCGCTTGTTCGAGCACTGATGCCGTTCCTGATTATCCGGTAAGACAAGTAGTTGCTGCAATTCACCCTGGTTTACATGAATAATAATAATTAATTAACGTAAGTTAAGTTATTTGCATAATGGAATGCTCAGAATAAACGAATAGTTCAATCAGAGCATTGGTATTATTTGTATGAGTTCAATATTTCAGAAAACATCTGAAATTGGTATCAGTACATGCAGGATGGGATTCATCATTTATCGTTTTTTTTTGATACAAATATTTACAATTTTATATCATGTCATTAAATCGACTTATTAAAAATGAATATGCTTCTCGTGAAGCATATATTAAATATATATATGTTGAGTATATATAATTCGTATAAAATAAAGTTTAATTATGTCCCCTAACCGAAGTATACTTTTCGCATTTCTAAAACTTAAACCATGTAAATATGTATTTAAAAACATAAATATTTGAAAAATTGTAAACAAAAATTCTAAATAAACCAAACCACAAATTTATTGACAAATTTTATCACTTTTAAAACATTTGGCAAAACAATAAAATATTTCCCAATACTCACATTAAATCCGCGTCCAATTTCCACATCCGCATCCAAAGGCAGCGAGAATAAACGTTTCGAAACAATAAAACTATTTGTCCAGGAGCAGTCGACGAAAACTGAAATAAAATCTCCATTTTGTATGCTGAAACGTGAAACAAAAGAAAATATTAAAAAATACATTTTTGCCAGAAGCTATAAAAAGTATCTCAGCACACAATAAGTATCTCACCACGTTAACAAAATTAAAAAGAAAAAGGTTGAGGATTATTTATTAAATAAAAAGACAAAAGTGAGCATTTTTGTTGGAACTACTAATGGTATTTTATGATATTATAAAAAAAAAAGAATATTATTTTTTAACCATTTATTATTTATATATCCAAGGTATTCAATTAATTTAATTCGAACTTGCATTAAAAGATCATGTCTGAAGCAACTCACGATATAGACACATACAAAAAGGATCTTTTCTTTCTTCATTTGACAATGGCAATATGAACACATTTTATTTGACATTAAGAATTAATCTTAAGATTTAATCTCTTAACAAAAAAAACCAAATATTTTTCTAACTCCTACTGTTATATTTTGTAACCGAATCGAACATTTTAAGAATAATCTAAAATTTGTATACCTGGAAGTGTTAGTAGACAATTATATGATTCATGAATAGATATAGCGAATCAAGCACACTTTATTTGGCCAGTCATATAAAACAGCTAATCCTTTCAGAGTAATCTTGCTAATCTGGTAAAATATCTAGAGTGTTTTAAATTAATCTCAACTGTTACATATTTGCCTCAAGATTTACCAATCGTGTATTTACTCTTTTCATTGGTTCAGAGCCCTTCTGCGTCGTAACAAATAGTTGAACAAATAACTTAATATGTGAACGGGAGAAATAGAATCTACTTGAACACTGGAAAGCCCAATCAGGCATTGAGTAATCAAGAAGATTCATTGATCGTGTACACCTCAGTAGTTGACGCAATGCTTAACTTTCGCAGAAATAATATTAAACTCTACACTGAATTTCTTACATGAAGAATTTAGGTGCAGTAGAAAGTGATTTCTATCGACTCTGTCATGAGGAGAAGGAAAGTATAGAATTTATTCTATGCAACTGCCCAGCGGCGGCAAGATTAGACTTGACTACTTTGGAAGCGGGATCTTAGTCTCAAATCAAATAGCAGTTACGAGATTTATTAATATTCTAGAATTGTTTTAGTTGGGTCCTTAGGGGTATAACATTACTTTTAGGTCGGGGTGCATTCATAGCCTATTATTCAATAACAATAATGTAGTGCCTTTAACGTGATCCTTATAACAACTGATAATAAATCGATTTACATTTACTTTACATTCTCTTATACATTTTTACCAACATTTTATCATCAGGAACAGCATATTATAGTTTCTACTATATATGCAAATTACAAAGATATATAGCTATATTCTAATTGAGTTGATTCAAATATTATTGAATTCAACACTGATTTTTGATAAAAAGTAAAAATCACTCAATTTTCAATACTTTTCATATTGTTTCAGTTTTGAGTTTTAGACCTAATGAATTATGAGTATTAACTTTTTAACAGAGAAGCTCACAAAACGAGGTTCATTTATTAAGCAACCGTTAATGTGCCGTTAATGAAACTACACTAAAGGAACGGATTTGAGAAGCTGCGGGTGTTACTGGACATTAAACTAGGACGTGAATTACTAGTTCATCGTCAGTCAAAACGTAAGGGTATATGCAGAAAACTTGCTAAAGTCTAGCCAGTGTAGACGTAGTGTACGATACACAGGCTTATTTAACAAAATTAAATATGAACATTCTTTTCTCATAAATCTGTAAAATTAAACCAACCTGTTAGTAGATGCAGACACATGGATATATAACAAATCAGTAAAATAATATTGAGGTACACGTATGATAGCTAAGAAAAAAAGAAATCTTAAGTATCCAATAAAATTCAGAAGATCCATTATCATTAACAGAACAAAAAGAGCTATAAGAAATTAGGTATATCCCTGAAACAATATGAACAGTAAATATTTTAGTAAAAGTTATAGAATAAATAACAGTAAAACTGTTCTTACTAAATTTATCTATACGATCACACTTATTTAAGAAATTTATTACTTAAATTAACTTGTAATAAATTTTAATTTTAAATCCCTAGTCCCTAGTCCCTAACCTTTCTGTCTCCAATATCAAAGCAGTGTCATCCCATACCACAAATAGGAAACACTAACAGCAAAACAATTTAATTTAAAAATATTAAAATTCCAAAATACAGCAATTTTTGTCTATGCTACTCACCTGATGGCTACTTGATGCCAGCGATAATCGTATAAATTGAATTTCACAGGTAGCATTTCGGTGGTGTTATCACGTTCCAAATATAGACGCAAACCGTCCTTGCACGACTCCAAGTATAAATTGTGTGTTGTGTTGCGTATGGAAAAAATTGTTGCTGTGGTCTTGCTGTCGTTCTGTGAGAAAAAAATAAATTTAAATAAAAAATAAATTTGCATACACAAAAATACATAACAAAAAGCGCTTTGAAACCTTCCTCAAACAAAAGAATTATGCTTGTAATATACAAAAATGACAGGATATATTTTAATTTTTTGCAGAAGCAATCAGTTTGGATTTTTATTGTACGCAGAATTAATGCTTGATTTTTGTTTCCGTTGAGGAAAACAATTTTAATTTTTTTTATGAAACTTTTTCTATATTTTTTATATATTTTTTATGTACTTTTATTTCTGTTAATGGAAAATATTTTAATTGGTTTTCATTGTCAGCCGCTTTTATTACTGTTGAGATTCTCGACCGAGCCGGCTGATATTTTCGGGACGCAGCCCTGCTCGGGCTCTACTTATTTATGTAAATTAAAACTGTTTTAACAGCTTTCGTTGTAATTGAACACTTTTAATTACCCTTAAGAACATTAACTTTATTAAGGCATGCAAATTGATTGAGCACAATGGCACAGTTTTTGTGTTAAAGAGCCGAGAATAAGACTAAAAGTTAAAAAAACGAATCATTTGTAAATAATTTGCTGGTTATTATTTTGGAATTCAATTAACTTTTTTCTAGAGGCTTAAACTTTTTACTTCAAGGTATTATGATTATTTCAATGATATCTTTACATAAAATAAAAGAATATTTTCATAACTCATCCATTGTGGCAAAATATTGAAATGTCTGCATTCTGTTAGTGGTTATAAGAATTATTATTGATTGTTTTTAATGAATGTAATGTTCGTATACTTGAGAGAGGTGCACTTTAAGGCACCTATTCTACTGAAGTCGTAGGCTATATTGTACATAAAAAAACAACAGACTTTCCATATATGAGTACAAATAAATTTTATGTCTTACCTTAGCCCTTAGTGTGGTCATGAGCGTGAAATTTAATGCATTGTGCCAACTCTTGACATATCCCATATTGGAAGGTGTTGATGACGGCATGGCATTTAAACTAACAGCAGCATTAATAGTACCGAAGCCAATGCTCGAGGTTGTTGTTGCTGTCGCTACAACTGCATCGGTAGACATTGCAGCTGCTCCAATTGAAGCTGCAGCAATTGTTGTGGATGTATTGATATCAGTTGCCAATGGCATTGTCGCAGCGCTTATGTCATCGAACATTGGAAACTTTTTATAAAATTTTAATAAGTCGTTTATGTCATCTGGAAATGGAAATCGAAATCGAAATGAATACCATGTTCAGCATTGAAATGAAAAGTAAACATTTGAGCATTCAACATGCATTGAAAATTCTAAAGTAACACAGGAAATGGAGGAAATGTCAGAAAATGAATAAATTTATGAGAAATGAAAATTGATGAAAAGTTTAACTTCAAGTTTTGATTTCATATAAAATAATAAAAAAGAAGTTTAACAAAAAAGCTGAAATTTTCAATGAAAATGAAAAATTAGTTAAAATAGTTGACTTACCACGGCATTCAAAAGTGTTGCAATTCCGTTGTTCGATATTGTAACCTTCGCAGAATAAAGTCGAGAAAGTTTTTGTTGACTTTCTGCTGCGGTGCTTCTTGGATGGCTTCTGAAAGTCTTTCTCAGATTTTTTTCCTTGCAATTGATTTTTTTTATTAATATTTTTCGCTGATGTGGTCAAAGTTTTTGAATTTGCGTATTGTAAGTTTTCATTAAACTCATTTAACTTATTTGCAACAACATACAGCATATTATGTTCAGTATCTTCATTATTAACATCACTCACAGCAACTGGAGAATTATTGTTGCTGTTATTCGTTGTACTTCGGTACGTCTGCTGTTGTGACAACAAAGCGACATCACTCATGTTATCAATTGCATTAATAGTGGGAACAATTTTAATTTCCTTCATGCCATGCAGCTGCAAAGTATTGCTGCTGTCAGCATCGTTTGCTGCTATAATTTCAATATCAGTTTGTGCATCTTTTGTTGTCGGCACATTGACAACACTTTTGTCACTTTCCATTTGCGTAAAGTCAATTTCTGTCTCCATTTCATTGATAATACCATTTTGTGTAGCATAAGCATCACGGGCCACTTCATCAGCTTCAACATCACCATCAATAACAACATCGTCGTCATCATCATCATCAACAACTGCGTTTAAATTCATATTCATGTTTAAGTTCATCATTGGATTATCCAGGAGACAACGTCGAAATCGCTGCTGCACACCTTTACCGCATGTAACGCTACAAAGCGTGAAATCACTCCAATCATCCCAGCCTGCAGATAATGTTTATATTATGGTAACGCGAACGATGTGTTGGGTGTGTAAGCAACACATAAATGGATTTCGGGTAACAGTTGGCAGAATCATTTTTGTCCGAGCATGAAATGAAATGGCAATAAAAATTATGAAAATTGAAATTTATGCATACAATTTTTATTAAGGCATATAGAATTTAAACGGAATTTTGTTAAATTAATATTTTCAAAACAATTTGATACATGAATAGTAAAATATATAGTATTGAAGTGAAGTACATCAACAAATAAGTTTTGATGAAAGTTACTGTAAGTCATAAAGTAGAAGAGACAAAGATAAATTACGATTAATAAGATCTATTGCGCTCAGTCTCAGTCTCAGTTTTTGATTCTATTCGAATAGAGGTATTATTTAGTGAAGAAACAAGTAAATAATCTGATTTTATATCTACATATTTAGACTGAGAAACTAGTTATCGATCATGCTTTTTCGCACCAATAAGGCTAGGAATGTTTTCAACAATAGTGATTTGTGAATGCATGGTGAATGTGAATGTGAATGCATACCTAGTTTTTCTACTGAAGGCAGTTAGCTTTAAAGATGTTGAGACATTGAGGAAATTTATACAATTGATGTGCTTTAGAAGCTTTCAAACAAGGATGATAGAATAGGATGATGCATATCTCTATATACAACTATATAAATATAATTTTTTACAAATTCAATTAGAAGAAATAATCTATGAAAATATAAATTTTTGGCTATTAAATTAATAAATATGGATTGTTACAGTGTTAAACAGAATGCTTAAAAGAAAGCTACTTGGGTTATGCGTTATAATTTATTTCATATTGAATCGTATATTTATATCAAAGGACTGTGCATAAGTATTTAAAGTACAAAAGTACCAAATTGCACGAAAATGTCAAATTATTGAAAGAATATTTCATCTAGACCTAAATCTTCTTATATTTTTTTAATATTATATATAAAATTGATCAAATTTTTTTTAAAGTCTATAGTACATATTTTGCTTAGTATCACTTCTGATTTCAAATAATCAGTACAATATAACATTATATAGTATAATAGATTTTATAAAACTTGCAAAGAATTTCGTTGTAAGCCTTCCACATACAATCAATAAAATAAGACTCAAAAATTGAAGTAAAAGGCAAATATGTTTAGCAAAATCTGCCTTAAAGAGATTTTTCATGTAAATATACATATACCTCTTTATATGTATCTGGTTTTTGCTACTTTTATGTTCTTTAATACTTTATGTACAAGTATTGACAAGTAAAATGCACTCTTAACCCTATTAGTGCCATCGTTGCTTCGTTGCACTTTTACTTACTGCTATTGCTGCTTAGAATGTTCATCATACATAAGTGAATGTGTTTGTGGTACATTTTTATAGAACTTAATACTTTTGTATTGCTATTAAGAATAAAATCACATTTTATGTCAACACACGTACTAGGAAATAGATATATAATCTCAATACTATTTCTTTTCACTTGTATATAAAATTTTATTCAATTCAAGGTGAAATTATTTTAATTCTGTGAAAGCACTTTAATACGACTAAAAGTATGTATATTAAGTTTTATACAAAGGAGGTATGTAAGCTTTTTCCTTTGAGGCTTAATAAGTAATTAGAAATAATAAGAAATCCAACTAAAGTATTTGTTTAAACTTCGATTATCTTTTAAAAACTTGTCAACAACAATTACTTTGCTCGTTATTCACTTCAGGATCAACCAGACGAATAATACAAAAATATTAAAATAAATGTTTAACTAGTATTATTGACAGGTATTAGTATAATATACTATTATATATATTAGTATGGCTACTATAACTAGTATTATTTTGCTTTCATGTGTTGACAGTTTTGAATAAAACTGGGCACGTATGTTTGTTTAAACCTTTTCTCAATAAAGCCACAAGTTGTGTTAAATTGAAATGGTGTCCTTATGTACTAAAAGACCACGTAAGCTTAAATTATAGCTTATTGCAATACTGTGGGTACACATTGGTAGTACTTTAAAATTGAAAGATATGCAGGAATAGCAGAAGACCGAAGTACTCAGCTTACTATCAGTCTTAATTAAATCCATAACTTTATCGGAATACTGAATTATAGAGTTATAAAAAACTAATTGTCATTTGAATCAAACTGTATTGACTGTGCTGACTGTATGTTTGTTTTTAAAAATTAATCAGTTATTCATCAAACATCGACGACATTTGCTTTCAGCATGACCATACACCCCGGTTAACAATTAATTTATTGCGAAATCAATTTGTTAACAAGTTTATTTCCAGAAGTGGCCCTGTTAACTGATCCTCTCGTTCGCGCATTGTTTTATTTAACGCCTCTCACATTTATCGCAGAGAAATAGTCAAAAGTTGGACAGTTCGAATGGACCATATAACTCGTAGCAGCGGCAGATATATGTCGAAAATTGTATTTAAAAAACAAATGCCATCAAATTATTTACCAGATTATATTAATAAAAATTTCAAGAGTTTGAACAGTAATGAAGAAGCAACAACAAAAAAGTGATTGGTTTATTAAAATTTGGCTGACCATACAATACTGGAAACATTGTTGTCTTAGGAAATGTTCGAATTTTTATTTAATTAGTTTATAGTCCCTAAATAATTTGTTGTGCTGTAAGTACTAGGCTTAGAACTCGTACCTGTCAAATGAGTAATGATGACTAATCGTGTTTTTTCACAAGTAGCCCAGGCTGCACAAATTTTCAATGCCCAAATTCAAAGTTTCGATGCTCAAGTTCCATTCCAATAATATTTCTGTTGTATTATCATTTTAAGTTATCATGTAATCACATATAATTATCAATATAATCATTTTATTTACAAAAGTTTTTTTTTTATTCAACTTTCATATTTTTTATAGTTTCCATTGGAGTTATAATTCAAACGATTTAATTAAATGCTAATGTGTTTTGATTGCCATATCAGTGGTGAATGTAGGGAGCCATTATTTATACCAGGACACGATGGTGATAATTTAATAATTATTTAATCTGTACCTTTAAAGTTCATATCTCTATTAAATAACTGTTTTAAATGTTGACTAACTCATTTTCATTTCAAATTGTAATCGTGTAATCCACGATGAGGGAATCGATTTACCACCTAGTTGGTGTCAATTGCTTGTTTAATCCAAGAATTATATCACACAAATTGATACTATTTTCTGTTTAATTAATGTAATTGTTTGATTTAAATTAATCTAAACTAAATAAATATCCGATAACTTTTCACGCGCGATAATTGCATTTAATAGAAAATATCTTTGTCAGCTTTTATCAATCTGTAGTCAAATTTTTAATCACATTTGCGAATCAAAAGCACGCAAATGTTGTTGTTTTTATGAAAACAATGAATGATTTAAAATAATGAGCGATGCAATTAACAAACTGATTATATCAGAATAAAAGCAGCATACCACATTATTAATTTATAACCGAGTTATTTTGTTTATTCAATAATTCATGCGATATTGTTGAGCCACTTGAGCTGTTATTCAATTCTAATGTGTGAATTCAATTAATATTCATACCGTTTGATGAAACAACAGCGTCATGTAAAATATTTTCAAGAGGATAACGAATCATTTATTGAATCGTACAATGAATCGTACTATATTTACACACTCTGAGAAATGTAAATAAATAATTTAAATTTAAATTTTCTTTCGCAATCATAGTAGAGTATTTAAATAACACCTACGCCTTATAAGTCAACATCCTGTAGCAATCACTTCAGTTCTTTTATAAATAAACTCGAAAATATAAATCTCAAATACACAAGCAATTAACATAAAATAATAAATTTTGAAATTTGTATATTACAAACACGCTCGCACGCATATAAGCTTACTAATTATGTAAATATCAACATAGATACAATTCCAGGTTCATAATTACATCCTGCCCTGAATTCAAATGAATTGGTTTGCAAACTTTTGTCGTCGATTTCCAAATTTTCATAAACATTGATAAAAAGAATTTTTGAATGTTTATTTGCTTAATTATAATGTGGACATTTTATATTTAATTGCACAAATATTGGTTGCCTTTTGGTTAAATACACTTGAATTAACATTTGAATTGGTTTCATAAATTCATATTTATGCAGCTTCTAATTCCCATCAAAAGACTAAATCAGTTTAAAAACATTTTCTAATTCTATTTGAGAAAGTTTAATAAAATAATTACTAAACTATTACCGTAAACATATATGTTTTCGGTTTGTTATTTGAAAAGCTAATATTTCACTTCGAGTGAATATTTAGCAAAAATTAAATTAGTTTAAATGAAATAAAATTTTATAGCTCAAACACTGAAATTACAATCGTATATTTAAGCTTTAAAATATTAAGTGCCTCGAGAGAAT